TTGATTCTTTTGCTGTACCAAATCTAATGAAAATCAACATCTTTTTTTAAATCACATCATTTTTTTCTTGTAAAATATTAAGTAATGCTTTAGCCAATCAGAAATGGTTTTTTGCTACAAAGATTTTCAGTTTTAAGTGAGAAAGTTATTTAAAAATGACTTTTTGAATTAGAATTTGTAATCCTCTTGATAAAGTTTTAAATTTAATATTTATTTATTTGTTTTGAAAATTTGTAATTATATGTTTATATTATTATAATTTTATATTATAGCTTATATATTATATACTTATATAATTATAATATACTATAATGTAATTTAATGATTGTTACGCCTCTGGACAATAATTTTTAACAATCATTCAGAATAACGATTAACGATTGCGGAATAAGTAATTCCCTTAGGAGAATTACACCAAAAATGATTGCTAAGAAACTAATTCCGCATGAGGAACTCTCCTTTAAAAGCCTTAGCGCTAAACTCAATAGAGGTTGAAATAACAACACGAGAAGACTACACACAGCTAATATATTAAATAGTTGTAACAATTTAACATATAGATATAGAAATAAATATCAAACAAATGTTAAAGCAATTCTCTATCTGATAATAAATAAAAAAGAAAAAACAATACATATAATAAGTACATAGACATATAAAGTAACATATAATAATTAATATATGAGTTTATATGTTATTTTACAATATATATATATATATATATATATATATATATATATATATATATATATATATATATATATATATATATATATATATAAATATATATATATATATATATATATATGTAATGTTATAACATTTATTATGGTATTCATTATACATATCATTATACATATTATAATACTATATACATAATATTCTTTGTGTACGTGTTTTGTGTTCGTGTATGTGCATTACAAAAATTGTAATTTAATTTTTGGTTAAACTTTAATTTAATATTAGGTATAAATTTTGTAATCAAAATTATCGGTCAGACACGTAATCAAGAACTATGGAAGTTTTTTACTGATGTTGAAGGAAAACTAGAAACTGTATTCTGTAATATCTGCAAGAAAAAGTACAAGATTACTGATAAATCTACTTCTGGAATAACTCGTCACATTCAGGTGGCACACCCTGTGAAATGGGAGCATATCAGGAAAACAGAGTTAGAGCAAAAAAGAAAAAGAGATGATGGCTATCTTCATATTAAAAAGAATTTTAGTATAGAGGGCAATTATGAGGAAGAGTTTGGAAAAGAAAGTCCTGAAGATTTTAGCAGAAGTATTAAGGACCTGAAGCTAAGTGACAAAAGTTCAATTACTAACTACACAAAATACAAACAATCAGATTTGTCACAGCTTAAGGCTGATATGGAAATTATGGTGTTTTTGGCAACAAGCAATAGTGCTTTCAACCTAGTTGAAACGGATTTATTTAAGCATTTGATCCATTATTTCAATCCCAAGGTAAAGTAATAAGAAATAACCAAGTCTAGAATTCAATACATTATATTTCATGTAAAATCTAAGCTTTACAAATAATGTTTTTAAATTTCAAATTCAAACAATTAAGTGCATTAAATAGCAAAAATTAATGACATTTTAAATGCTTTAGGTAATTCTGAAGTCCAAAACAACATTTTCGAGAAACTGTTTGCCACTTCTCTACGCAAATCTTAAGCAAGCTGTTGGTGAATTGTTTATAAAAGAATTGCTATTATGTCCCGGATATGGGTTTTCTACAGACATCTGGACATCTTGAAACTACAATCCCTATATGAGCTTATCACCTCACTATATTGACAATGACTTCAAGTTGAAGAAGTTTGTTGTTCATTGTACTTACTTCAATCAGTCTTACTTCAGTAGTCACACTGGAGAAGCAATTGCTAATAGATTGTCAGAGTAAGTTTAATTAAACTATTAATTAATAATGTATTTAATTGAGCCTTATTTACATATTTTCTTATTTACAGTATTTACACTTTTAAAATATTTAAAGATATAAAAATATTTGTTTCATGACAACCATTTTTGTTTTTAGACATATCTATAACATACCCGGAAATAAAACAGAAGCACAAATTGTGCTTGTTCATGACAATGCAGCTAATGAAAAATCTGGTTCAAGGCAGACACAATGTGTAGACATTGGCTTATGTTGCTTTGACCACTCCCTTCAGCTTATTCTAAAAAAATATATTACAGACTGTCCAAAAATAAAAAACAGCTATGGATGCATTTAAAAAACTTGCTGCAAAACTTCATCACAGTTCAAAGTGTGATCAAAGACTAAAACAAGCCGCCAAACATTTGTCATCTGAAGCTGCTCAAGTGACTTATACTAAGCTTAATCAATCTGTTCCTACCCATAGGAATTCCGTGATAATGATGGTTGAAAGTGTGATCAAAATCAGAAAAATTTTGGATCATATACGTGACTATCCAGGCCCAAACTAAACCAATAATTGAAAATCTTTAGCAGCCAAAGGTCTATTTTTTTTTCCAAAAACTTAGTATGTTTGAACAGTTTAAAATGAGATAAACGTGTATTAAAATGTAATAATGAAAAACTTATCAACATTTCAGTAAACTTTATAAATATTATCATATCAAATAAAATTATTTTTAAGGAAATGTGTGCTTGGTGATAAAATGGCATCTTAATGAACAAATGTTTGTTTTTTAGGGAAGGATGTTGAAATGTATGTATCCTATTTCCAGAATAAATAGTTCTTGCTAAAGAAATCTTGCCTGTTTTGTTGCGGTTCAAAGAAATTTCAGAAATTGCATTTGCAGACAAAGTTCCAACTATACAAATAATAACTATAATAACTATACTAACAAACTATCAACCTTTTTTTTAAATAGGAGCATGCTTTGTGCGGTTTGATACTAAAGCGGAATTTGAAGAAGTCAAGAAGGAAATTGTTTACTCACATAAATCTTACATCGACTGGCAAAATAAAGTTCAAACACACATTGTTACCATTGAAGTTGACGAAGACAATGAGGTGCTGCAACTAAATTTTCTGTCAGTATTTAGTGCAAGAACGATATTGAGATAGAATGGGACACTTTTATGTCTACGAATAGATTAAAAACAGACAAATAATGCAATGTATTAGAATGGTGAAAAAACAAGAAGGAAATATTTCCTTTACTGGCAAAACAAGCTCACCGATGGTTGTGCATACCCATCTCCTCTGCAACCTCTGAAAGTGTCTTTTCAGCAACGGGCAATTGTTACAACTAAATGAACAAAGCTTCAACCCGAGTCTGTTGACAAAATGATTTACATCCAGCAGAACTTCGATCAGGTGAAACAAAAATTAATAAAATAAATTGTAATTTTGCGGTGGTTTTTTCTTTAAAACACTTTTTTAAGTTTTTACTACCAAAAGTTAACAAATTATTCATAGTTTCTTTTTTAACATGACATTTAAGTTACTGTCATGTTGAAAAAAGTAACTTAACTTTTTTTATTTCTTGTTAAAACAGGTTACAATCCAAAAATGGCGCCTGAGATCTGACCTTCCTGAGGATCATCCAGTAGAAGGTGCAACAAATATTGATGCTGATCTGTCCAATTTTCTGTTAAAAAGGAAATAAATATATAAATAAATATGAACCTTCATAATTCCTAATTTCTTGTAGTGTTATTATACAAGAATAGAAAGCATAATAAAGAGTTTATTTATTCATGTAATAAAGAATAGAATTACAATAAACTTGTATGAAGATTTTGAAAAATTCATAGAAATTTAGAGAATAAATATATTTCGTTTCTGCTTTGGAATTTTTCGCCATTTGACGAGTCTCGTCTTGCCTGATTTTTCAACAATAAAATTTTTCTCGCTACCGTTTTTTTCTTGTTCTAGTTTTAACTAATTTCTTGTTACCATTACCATTTTAAATAATTCCAAGATGCAACAGCTTAATAAAACCTATTAGTTAGTACTGTTTACAAATCAGCAGGAGAACAAGGAGATCGAAATCCATATTGATGATCAGAAGAAAATTATCAGTTGTTAAATTAAAGATAAGAGATTAAGTGTTTTTTAATTGAAGACTCAAAAGCCTTGCTTATGATAGTAAGAAAACTAATGGAATGGTAGTGAGACAAATTAGACTTCTTAGAAGAATCTAAACAGGAAATAACTTTAGATACAGAAGCTGGAGTGATACCAATATCAAGCAATGGATCTACCTGTTTGTTTTCTATATCAGGTAGAACGCAACTAGTGGAATCAAGAAATGATATTGATGAGAAGTTCTCAGCATTCATATCAACTTTTTCTTTAAATGAGGTAAACCATAAAGAGAGGTAGAATAACAGAATTACCCTTGTTATAGATACTGTTAAAGATCCTCCAGAAGTCATGAGAGCCTAACTTTTGAGACAAAATGCAAGATTTTGTGACCTGAGTATAGCGGGCTTTGGTATTAGACAAAACCTTTTTACAATAGTTTCTAGCAGTAGTAAATGGGTGTCTGTTTTCTGGAGAATTGTTTTGCTGACAGATATGGAAGGCTTGACTTGGAATCTTTGAAAGGAAGTAAGAGTTTCCAAGCCAGCCTGAATCTAGGAAGCACATTTGTCAGCAAAAAGATAAAAGATTACTATAAGGGTCATCACAAAGAAAATCACAGAAAGAGTTTTAGTCCGCTTAAAGGTAGTTAAAAAAGTAAGTAACACTCAGTTTAATAGTGTTTCTCTTAAGTGGTTTTCCTTCGATAGTTTTCCTTAATTATTTTTATTAAAATTGATTTAAAATTGCTAAAAAAATTAAATTTTGTGTTTTAAAAAAGCTCATATAACAATTTTATTTAATATTAAAATTATTTTTTCCTAGTAAAACATTGTTTGCACATTACTTTTTATTATGACAAGTAAAGTTACTGTTTATGTTGTACCTTGGTTGATCAAAAGTCATAAGTTTAGATTTTTATTAGGTTTAAAAAATATTTATTTTTTAGCATTTCATTTTTTAGTTTCTCCCAATATCAAAAATGAAACGTATTTTTCTGAAGTAGCTTATTACGCTGCAAAATCAAATGCAACATTTATATGTGAAGTAAGTGGTTCACCGGCTCCTTTTGTTTATTGGGATTATCGTGGAAATTTATCTGAAAACTGTATATTCATTGAAAGCGGAATCAATTCATCTTATTTAAAAATCATCAATTGTCAAAACACTTTTATTGAAACATTTTCATGTCATGCAACAAATATTGCTGGAACAGATGAAAAAGTGATGAATATTATATTGTTAGGTATGAGTTTATGATTATTCATTGAAAAATATTTTAAAATACTTTGTTTTTAAAATATATATAAAACTCATGTTTTTGGTTTTTTTGGATTTTTATTTAATTAAAATATTGTTATTTAATATTTTCAAAGAATAAAACATCAAAATGTTTGAAACATAATCGTGAGAGGTAATATTTATTATTAGAGTGTTTCATGAATTTGTAAATAAATTTAGTAACATTTTTTAATTAGACAACAATTCAATAATTTAAATTAAAAATTTAAATTAAGAGCACAAAATTAAAAAAAAAAAATTTTCTTTCTTTTCAGTTAAGTCTAAATATATGCCTAGGATGTTGATAATATAATTATTTTTATAATTTTTCTTTCTTTTTTGTCTTTCTTTTTTTCCTTTTAATTGAAGTTTAGTTTTTTTCTTTCGTTTTTTCCTTTTAATTTAAAATAAACATTTTTATTGTTACTGTTTATGTTATTTAAAAATTATTTCTAAAAAAAATTTTTCTATGGTCTTTAATGCTGTTATTTATGTACTTTTAATTGTACCTAAATCTGCTAAAATAATGAAGTTTTTTTTTATCAATCGTAAATACAACTGCATAAAATACACCTTAATGCAACTGGTCAAAGTTCTTTAATATTAGAAGTTTTTTTTTGGAAGATTTCATTCCTTCAATTGATTTTTTTTTGAAAGAAAACTTTCAAAAAAAAATGCATGAGTTGCTGCTTCTGTAACCATATCGACATATTTTTCTACACTTTGAGAATGGCTCAGGATATCATCAAGAATCAATATTATCAAATTTTTTTATTGCAGTTTTAATTGAATCATCACTTTCAACATTAGTGGTAGAGTAATTGCAAGTTTATCCCAATTTATAAGAGTATGGTAATCTACTGTATTGATATTTAAATGAGGAATTTAAAAATTGCCTTTTTACTGTGAAATTAGCATCTGTGCTTTGCAATTTTAGCTCCTCTAGGTGTTCTTCTAGGTAGGTTTAAAACTCTATTTCTTTTCATTTATCGATCTCCGTGTAGCATGTATCAAAAGCTCCAATTCTATAAAGCATTGAGTATAAATCAACTTTTTTTTAAATAAAAAATGTCTTAGTGGTAGTTAATTAAAATAAAACATACACATTAACTATTGAATGTGATGTCATACTTGCAGTGTTAGTAACCTTATTACACCTTTGTTCAAATCAGTCTTAAAGCTATGTATGTAGCAAGTATTATCAGATAATCATTAAATTTTTCTACCAGGTTCATTATCACATTGACAGAAATCTGATATCTGATCATCATTGTGCTTAATTAATGAGACTTCAGTATCACTGACTAAGCTGTAAATAAAAATATAAGCTTTATTATAAAAAATACCTATATTTAAAATATACCAATAAACTGCATAGTAATCAATAGCATGATTAACTTTAAACAGTTTATTTAATAAATTCATAACTCATTCACATTTAAATTCAGTTTTTCAATAATGTTTTTATGACGAGGCAACTCATTCTATTATTTCCTAATGAGGGTACAGCTCTAAAACTCAGTTTTATGGTTCTGAGTTAAAGATACGAATGAGCCCCAACTTTTTCCAATGTACACCACAACGACAAAACAGACATTAGGCTATCCTGCTGGATGTGGTTACGGCGCTCAATAACCTAATGACTACGCTGACACTCACGCACACGTTCAGTTGGAAGCTCTACAATGCACATCGGATCAGCGCTCGCTGACTATGTGCTTGGATCTGAAATCTCACTTCATAGCACATCACTCTACACCAGCACGGGGCAGTAGCTCTTTTGGCTAAGAGTGATGGCTTGTGGCCTACGGTGACTAATGTGTGCATTCGATCAATTGAAATCCATTCTGTAGGTCTTACGTCTGGCTCTGATGTGCTAGCCCATAAGCGCAAGAAATGAGTGTGTTTAGCTTTCTATTCACCCAATTTGAAAGTGAACGGAAACAAAACGAGACCATACTAGACGACAAACAGAACGTACTAATGCACTACACAATTACACCTGTAGGCATCAACAATTTTTAAAATCAGTATATCAAATATTTGTTCTTTGTTACATATGATCTACACACAGAGTGATTAGAGTGTTAGTTGGTTCTCTCCCTGCCCCCCAAGCATTTAACTTCGTTATTTACCTTCACAAAGTCTTATCACTTATTTTATATTTTCTTATGATTTTTATTTTTTTGTCAATGACACCATCTTCTAACTGTTTTTATTATCACATCTCTCAGGTCTACGAAACTGGACGGCTCCGTTGGTCACTTTTTGCGATCATTGTGTCGCATAAACATAAAATTTAATTTTCTATTGCTCATAAGAAATGTTATTCTAGTACTAACGTAATTGTTCTACTGCATAAAATTTTGAGTTTTAAAGAAATCTTAAAGGTTTGACCAGAAAACAACAAAATTGTTCCATTTTTTATAAAGCAGAAATTTTTAAATACCATATATTGTAATATCAAAAATGGCTTATATTCAATTAGGCAGCGGCAAAGAAAAGAAGAAATAGTTTTTCATTTTTTTTTATTTTAATGATATTTAGATATAGAGCAACACTATTTTGCTACCCTTTGAACAATAAAAATGCTATGATCATCTACCCTAGTATATATGTTTGTTAAGAAAGATTTTTATCTGTGTTATTTATTTATTTAAATTAGTTTTTTTTTCAATATCTGTGGAAGACATTATTATTTTATTTATCTGTTAATAATTGTTTTCTAACCTTATCAACGATTTTAAGTTTATGATATACCACAAATTTCTATTATTTTATTTCAAATTTTAAACAAAAAAGTACAAAAAATTATTGTGTATTTTACAGTAAATTGCTTAAAAGATTTTTGCTTTAAGTCAAGGAAAATATAAAAATAAAACAAAAATTATTCTGTTAACAATATTTGTTTTAAAAACATTTGTTTCCTTCAAGATCGTTATTTTTGTTAGTAACTTTTCAGGTTTTTATTTCCAAAATTATTAATGTTAAATACAGTTCAGATTTTATTATATATTAAAAAAAAGTAAGGAACAATTTTTTATTTGGTTTTTATTCATTAATTTTTGAAATGTTTTGATTGACTTCTAATTAATGCTTTAGACGTAATCTATTAGTTAGAAGTTAGTTCTGAGGTTAAAGACAAAAATGAGAAATTTAAGAAGATAAAGAAGCCACTTATTACAGATATTTCTCTGATATTAAATATGATAAAACTGATGTCTCTTATATTTGATATTATATTCAACTGTTCTGAACCTTTTTTTAAATTTTCATGGTTTCTTTATTAAATGTTATAAAAAGTTAAATACATTATCTTATTTCTAATAAACTAGATAATGAATGATGACTTTCATCATTATTGTTCTTTAAAATGTATTAGTCATAAAAAAAATTGTTAACATATTATTTTCTGTTAAAATAAGTATAGTTATTGTTACCTAAATGTGAATTGCTTTGTTTGTCTTAAATCATAAGTTTATTATCATAGTAAATGAAAATATTTTAGAAAGATAGAATAAATATAATATAATATAATATAATATAATATAATATAATATAATAAGAAATCAGTAATATCATGTATTTAAATTTAGTAATTTTAGTAAATTTATTAATTATAGATAGAATTATAAGTTTTACATAATTAAAAATCAATGATATTATGTATTTCATTTTTTAGTGTCTCCCAAAATCGAAAACGAAACTTATTTTTCCGAAATAACTTATTATGCTGGAAAATCAAATGAAACATTTAAATGTAAAGCTAGTGGTGCACCAGCTCCTTTTGTTTATTGGGGTTTTCGTGGAAATTTATCTGAAAGCTGTATATTCATTGAAAGCGGAATCAACTTATCTTATTTAAAAATCATCAATTGTCAAAACACTTTTATTGAAACATTTTCATGTCATGCAACAAATATTGTTGGAACAGATGAAAAAGTGATGAATATTAAATTGTCAGGTATGAGTTGTTTAATAATTTTAGTTTAATTTTTTTTTATAAACTCTCAAAATCTGATTGAATTTTGTTAAAAATTTAGATTCTATAAAAAGGTAATTTTACATTTTTTAGTTATTATAATTCTTATTGTCACATTTTTCATTCAAAAACTTTGCAAAATACTTTTTGTTTGAAATATACATAATACTTGATGTTTTTTAGTTTTTATGGATTGTTTTTTAATTTAATTATTAATACTAAGTATTATTAATTTTTAAAGAATGAAACATCAAAATGTTTAAGACACATAATTCGGAGAGATAGTATTTGATTTTTCCATGAACATAAAAAAATCAAATTTTTCAAGTATATGAGTTGCCGCTTCTGTAAGCATGTTGGCATATCTCTTTATACATTAAGAATAGCTCAGGACATCAAGAGTTTAAATTTTTATTTTTTGTATTGCAGTTTTAATTAAATCATCACTTAATTCTTTTAACATTGGTGGTAGAGTCCTTGTAAGTTCATCTCAATTTTCAAGAAATTGGTAATCGACTGCATGGAAGATAAGAGTTTTTAAATTTTTTTATGTGGAATTTATAACTGTGATTTGCAATTTTAGTTCTTCTAGATATTAGCACTCTATTTCTTTTTATTTATAAATCCTTGATCGAGATTTAATTCTGTAAAACTGAAGACTATATAATCCTTTTTTATAATTATAAATTCTATAAATTACCTGTAATCAGTAAGTATTTTAAGTTTGGTTGATGCAAGAGTTCTAGCATCAATAAAACTCATACAAATAAAGAATTTTAAGTTAGCTGTTTTCAACCGATTTTAAACTAGCTTAAACTTTTAATGTTGATTATACTAATTTTTGTTTTAGAATTCTCACATTCTACCGCTTCCAATGGTTCTTGATATCTGGTTCTGTGATATCCTCTTGATATCTGTTTGTTTATTTGTTTAATTAATATTTTTTTATAATTTATTTAAGATTCTTCAAGTTATATATCAAGCAACTTAATAAGATTAATGCGTGTTTGCACATAACTTGTGGCAGCCATTAAACCAGAATTATTAGCTATAAATAATGACATCACTTTTTTTAATAAAAAGTAAACTAAAGTATGTGCAAATATCAAACTTATATTAACTTAAAATTATGTTATTAAAATTTATATCAAGTTTTACTTTTACTTGTAAATTGTATTGCAGCAATATCTCCTTAATTTTAATTGATAGCATTTTTTTGCTGTTTTATAAAGTTTTTTGTTTGAAAATAGTGTTAAAAAGTAATAGTAAAGTATGTCTTAGTTGCCAAAGTGGTTAGCTTGCTGTGTTTTAGCAGTGAATCGCAGGCGCTAAAATTCCCTCGCCTTTACATAAATTTTTTTTTTTTAAATCTTTTCTAAATTTTCAAAGTACAAAATAAAATATTTTTAAAGTTCTATATATAATATATACATAACATATATAGAAAGATACTATTTGCTATAACAATTGCTGGGAGAAAATTTTCAAAAAAACTTAAAATTTCTAAAAAATATTTTTAAACATTTTAGTGGTCTTTATGGCCTTCATGTGACAATGAAAGCATTATTTTAAAATTGTTACTGTTATAGTTTAAAATTGTTTCCGTTTATTTTCCGTTTATTTTTTTATTGTTTTCTAGATAATTAGAGCTTCAAAAAGCTCACTTTATAAATATTTATTTTTGTCATTCTATTAAATTAAAATGATTTTTTTTATAAAGAATGAATGGAAGATTTTGATGTTGTTACTTCTAATAATTGGCAATTTTAAACGTTTATATTTTATAAGGAATTAAATTTTAAAAAATATGCTATCGGTACAATTAAGAAAACCAGATCCTAAATCATACCATTATAATCCAATATTTTACCTATATATTAATTTGCAAATACTATATTAATTTACATTACATTTTGAATGATTTTTGTAAAGATCTTTTTCTGTATAAAATTTAAAATGTTTTGTATGTAAAAAAGTTTTTAGTTTATTAAGTTTTATTTAATAAGAAGTTAATAAATTTTAAAAGTTTTCAAAGCAATCGGCATCCGCCGATGATTATCAAGGCCGATGCCGATGCTTCAGCTAAATGGCTGATATATCAGCAGACCGATGCTGATGCATCAGTGCACCCCTAATTTTAACATTATTTAGTTTAAAGTTTACATAAGTTAGATATTTGGATACACTTTCATTTACATTTTCTTATAAAAGTTTTGTGACTCTTGCCATTAACTTGAATTTAAAGGCTGCTGTGAATTCTGTGTCAAATTCTCGTCAATGGGTAATGGCAGCATCATTAAGTTCAGTATTAAAATATTTTATAGGATAATTAAATTGTTTTTTGCTGAAGATAGATTAAGTTTTTTGATATTTTCTTGATGTTTTTTAGATTTATTAACTACATAAACAAGCAGAAAAAACATATATCACACTTTTCTATTATGTTCTTTTAAATTATAAACAAAAAAGTACAAATACTATTGTACTTTTTTGTTTATAATTTAAAATAAAATAACGTCTTTATATTATTTCATATTTATATTTAAATATAAGATGTTTCTATAAGTCTAGAATAATATAAAAACGAAATGAAAATATGGCTGTTTACAATATTTGCTTTAAAATCATTTGTTTCTTTCAAGATCTTGATATCTGTTACAGGTTTTTTATTCCAACATTATTAATGTTGACTGAATATCAGATTTTTTTTTTTTTTTTTTTATTGTTTTTAATTATTAGTTTTTTATTTGTTTTGATCGACTTCAATTAATGTTTTAGATAAACTATTAGTTAGAAGTTAGTTCTGAGGTTAATGACAAAAATATAAAATTTAAAAAGACAAAGAAGCCACTTATTACTTCTCTAATAATATATCTGAAAAAACTGAAAATATTTTAATATAAATAGTTTAATATAATATAAATTTATATAAATAATTTAATAAAATATAAAAATAATTTATATTATATTAAACTGTTTTGAACTTTTTTTAAAACTTTCATAATTTCTTTATTTAATGTTATAAAAAGTTTAATACATAATTATCTTGTTTTTAATAAACTAGATAATGAATGATGACTTTCATCAATTATTATTATTATTAAATTGAAAACTGAAGTGTAAAATTTACACGGAAATTAATCACATAAAAGATTATTTTATTAACATTTGTTGCAACAGTTAAAATTTACTTATATTTTTTATCAATATTGTTTTTAAAAGAGTTTATCGACTTCACAATAACAGTTTCATGATCTAAATTCTTCCAATTGTTACAAACTTTATTTAAGAAAAAGTTATGTCTTGCGTTACATTTTGGAGTGTTTTCTCTTGAGTATCTATTGTTGTGGTTTCTGCTTGTTTTTTTTTTTGTCTAATACTGTGTTGGTTAAAAAATTTATTGGTTTTTGTTGTGAAATTTGATTGTAACCATATAGTATTTTATACATTTTTTATACAGTCTCCACGAGTTCTTTTTTTCTCTAATGATTCCAGGTTAAAAACTTTATGTCTGTTTTCATATTTCATTTATTTAAAGATGTGACCATTTTTGTTGCTCTTTTTTGAGTTTTGAACTTTTATTGTTCTTTAAAAGTCATTAAAAACTGTTAGCATACTAATTTCTGTTAAAATAATTATAGTTATTGTTACCTAATTGCTTTGATTGTCTTGAGCTTTTTATCATGTTAGATGTAAAAATTAATTATAGATAGAATTATAAGTTTTACATAATTAGAAATCAATGATATTATGTATTTCATTTTTTAGTGCCTCCTAAAATCAAAAATGAAACTTATTTTTCCGAAATAACTTATTATGCTGAAAAATCAAATGCAACATTTAAATGTGAAGCAAGTGGTACACCAGCTCCTTTTGTTTATTGGGTTTATCGTAGCTGGTTTGTTGAATTCTGTATGTTTATTGAAAACGGAATTAATTCATCTTATATAAAATTCATTAATTGTCAAAACACTAACAGTTTAACACTTTTATGTAATGCAACAAGTATTGCTGGAACAGATCAAAAAGTGATAAATATTGCATTGACAGGTATGTGTTGTTTATTAATTTTAGTTTGGTGTTTTGTTATAAACTCTCAAAATCTAATTGAATTTTGTTATAGAGTTAGAAAAATGTTAAATGTAAAACTCTATTTTTATAAAAAATATATTTTTATAAAAATAGAGTTTTACATTTAACAATTATCATTTATTTTTTAATTATCACAATTTTTTAAAGATTATTTGCATTTAATATATTTTAGTTTTCTGGATTGTTATTTAATTTAAATATTAATATTAAATATTATTAATTTTCAAAGTATGAAATATCAAGTAGTTTGTAATACATTTTGGAAGAGGTAATATCAGTAACCAAAGTTTTTAATGAATTTATAAAAATTATTAGTAATATTTTTTATTAAAATAATAACTAAATAATTTCAGTTAAAGAGTTAAAAAAAAGAGCTCAAAATTTCAATAATACTTTTTTTCTATCTTTTTAGTTAAAATATATGCCTAAGATATTATTAACATAAATTTGTTTTAAAATTCTTTTAAAACAAATTTTTTTTCTTTTTTTCTACTTTTTAGTTCAATATAAAACCATTTTAGTGTTAGATAAAAATGCTATTTAAAAGTTATTGCTAAACAAAAAAATGTTTTAATCTATATTCATAAATGCTGTTATTTATGTAATTTTAATTGTGCCTAATAAAAAAATTACATTTTTTAAAAATTGTTTCCACTTCCAAAAAGTGTGCTAGCAACCACTATTAAAGTTGGAAGTTACTGAAAAAGAAAAGATAAAAAGGAAAAAAAGTTAGAAAAAGAGAAGCAAGTTTGAAAGGATTGATGTTTGAGGAAAAAAACTAGAAATTTTTTTTTTTTTTGAAGCACTTAGTAACATTCGCAATTAAAGATGGAAACTTAACTGAATGATGAGTAACACAAGGATGAGTTTAAGAAGATAGCACAAGAGGGGCTAGCTCTTTAGAGCAGTGCCCATTATAGTGTTTATAGAATAGAGAAAGAAAAGCAACATTATGACAATGTAATAATGGTCAGAAGTTGGCTGCAAGAGCAGGTCCAACTATGTTAACAATGTGTATTTGCACCATGTCTTTAAGAGAAAGGGCTTTACTGTAGGATCCAAAAAGAAAGATCGGAAGTAAGAGTTTATCCTAAAAAATGAAGGACAGATGATTCATCAGTACATTACTGTTCATAAATCTAGGTTATTGTGATAACAATTAGCTGAACAAAAATTGAGTTTTATCTTAGTTAAAATTCACCAGCCACTGAGAACCCAGTGCTATTGCAAAAGTGAGATCTCTTAGCTTAAATCCCCCTTATCTTAATTGCCCCCTCCAAGCAAACAGAGTGTTAGCTTCTTACCAAGGCAAGAATAAATGGTGGTATCATCAGCAAACAATGCCACCTTAGATGTGAGAAGTTTTGGAAGATTGTTAATGTAAATTAAAAAGAGTATAGGGCTAAGGATAGAACCTTCAGGAATTACTGAAGTTACAGGAAATGAAGAAGAGTGCTGTCAATTAAGGACAACTTTCAAACTACAATTGGTATAAAAGGATTCAATAAACTTAATAATATTACCTAATACACTGTAAGATAAAAGTTTATGGATATGACTAGCATGTCAAACTTTATCAAAAGCTTTAGAAAGGTCAAGAGTGATGGTCTTAACCTCTCCACCCTTTTCTAATGCACAATAAAACCTATCGGTTATTACTGTTAGCTAATCAGCCATTGAACAATAAGATCGAAATCCGTACTAATGATCAGAAAGTAACTTATTAGATTCAAGATTGACTTGACTCAAAGCACAGATAGTACTCACTACACTATTTAATAGTTCAAGCATTTGTCTCATTACTATTTGTACACGTTGAGCTGTACAAATAGTAAAAATAACAAAGCGTATTTCAGGTGTGCATTGTCGAAGCCTCAAATGTGGCTTCGACAATGCACACCTGAAATACGAACAACTATTTGAAACATGGCACTGTTAGTGCTCTGATATTTTACAGCTGATGATGGAATCAGCCTCTCTAATACCAGAGTTCAGGAAACCTGAATTCCAGCTGGCCTCAGTACCTTAAAACTCAATTTTTGAGCTAAACCCTTATTAGAAGATAATAGAGTGAGTTGCCTTGTCATAAAAACAGTGAGAAAAGCAAAACTCATGCATTGAGTAATTATAAATATTTCTATGCCAGCCTAATAGATGATCTGCTATACTATGGAGTTTTTTTATCAATATATGTTAATACAACTGCATCAAATGCACCCAGTTGCAACTAGTTAAAATTTTTTCATATTAGAATTGTTTTTAAGTGATGTGTGGAAAATACTTTCTAGATCAATGTTTTGCTTTAATATATCACTAGCAAAAGGCAACCCGTAATACGGGTTTTGGTCGGTCTGTTACATAATTAATTTATAGTAGCTGTTTTCCACAATTTAATCTTGCAAAACCTTAACTAATACCCTTTTAGAAAATTGCCTTCAGCTTAAAAAAATTAATCCATCTGTAAAATTAACATAAAAATTATGAGGAGGTAAAATAATTTACCAACTACTACTTAACATTATTAAGTAATTTTAAATGGCACAGGCCATAACAGTGTAAGGCAGAACCATTTTCATCGACCTTCCTAAGTTTAACACAATACGTTTTTAGTTACTGACGCAAAATAATAACACTTGGTTATATTTTAAATTGACGAAAGTGTCAACTAAATCCTTAAAATAATTTTTATAACACGAACCATTAAGATTAAAATGAAGTTAACTTATATAATACAGGAGTTATCAATTTTTTGTTATCCCCTTGATTAATTGTTCTTTAGAAAAGAAAATTGTTAACTTAAAAATGTTAAATGCACACGTTTAAATAAATTAATAAAAAATAACAAAGTTTATTATACTACGCAACTGAGTACAAATACCTTTCAAACAAAAAAAAATTTAATTTACGATCAAACATAGGTATAACAAATTTTTTAATACATTAATGCATCATAGACCAAACTAAAATAAAAATTATAAGAGATAAGTAGACATAAAAATTTGTAAACCAAGCTGACCCGACCCGGGTCTTGTTAAGTCTGTTCAACACAGACCATTTGTATATTATTTATTTGGCCTCTTTATTTCATTAAATTTTTAGTAAACGGTAATTTGCCACCATTTACTAAAAATTCCTTTTGTAACTCGAAATTTAATTTGTCTAAATATTTTGGCTCTAATAAAGAGGTTCCTTCCCTCTTTTTGCTTTAATGGTGGCCTGGTGAATAAAATAAAATATTAAAATGTAAAACAATGATCTACTTATATAAAAATGTTTTCTTTCTTTCCTCAAAAGTGTTGCAAATACAGACTAAGCTAACTAATTAGTTAAACACATAAATAAAACTTAAGTAACTCGATATTAATGCGCAAAACTACAATATTCTCCATATTTTTAAAGGTTTTTAGTTACGACCGCCCATTCAACCCATACGACCCCCCAATCAATTCTCTCTCTACAATTCTCAATACTAATTCTTATTTAAGTCTCATCTAAGAGAGAGAGGAAGTGTTTTAAAAACACCATGTTAGAAAAAGTAAAAAAGTCATGCAATAAATAACAGTAACTGGTTTTATTATGCTACCAATAAACATTGTAAAGTTAATTTAAAGTTTTAAAAAACTGAAACTTTAATTCTACCTCAAAGAAAACAGATATATATTGAAAAGTATTTTTATTTCTTTTTAAAAATTTAAAAAGGCTTCTAAACTTACTCCCTCCAATATAATTATATAATATATATAGTATATATGATAAATAAACCTCCACAATATCCTTGGTTTAACAACTCGATTATGATTTATAACAACTCTGTAAACATGAATTTTCTAATAACCTAAATAAATTACAGATAGACAAACATAAACTAACACAATTAAATCCTAAACCAAAATTCATTCATGCAAGACAAATAATTTTATATTTATTGAAGAGCCAGAAACATATTTTTTTTCAAAGAGCTTAAGTATTAACAATATTTAAGACAAATTTTATTTATAACAAAATTTTCAATAAAAATTAAATTAAGATAAATTTATAACAAAATGTTGTCATGGCTTTTATCCCAATAACCAAAACTAAGTGAAAGCATGAAACTACCCATAAATATATTTTAACGCTAGACACAAATTAAGAATTAAAGTAATCTATAACACGAAGCTTTAAATTTAAAATTACAATTTAAAAAAGATTACAATAAATTAATTACTTTTAAATTTAAAAAAAAATTTAGATTACCTATAATTTTAAGCTACTAAACATAATCTACTTAATGTCAACTTAGATATTTTGAACTCGTACCATGAAAGGTTGAAAGGAAATCTGTAAGTAAGCACGCAGTAAAGAAAAGTCTAGAAACTACGTAAAAAAGTGTATTTTACAGATACAGAACCGTACCGTAACTATAAAACAATACGCGTAACTATGCGCATTAATATTCATAGGCTATTAATTATAGGCGATATATATATTTATATATATATATTTATTTATATACATTTATATGTATATATATATATATATATATATATATATATATATATATATATATATATATATATATATATATATATATATATATATATATATATATATATATATACTCTTGCATGTCTCTTGCATGGCATCAAAAAAAGTTTCCCATAAACTGTAGTTTTAAAGAGCGCATTAATAAACCAGACCAGAAAAAGTTTTAAAAATTACATTTTTTTTTTTAATTGATAGACTGCCTGGCCAAACCAAACCCTCAGTCGATGTAGCAGCACTCTCTTGCGAGTCAGGCTATTTGTCAGTCGTTGTAGCAGCACTCCCTTGCGAGTCAGGCTATTTGTCAGTCGATGTAGCAGCATTCCCTTGCAAGTCAGGCTATTTGTCAGTCGATGTAGCAGCACTCCGTTGCGAGTCAGGCTATTTGTCAGTCGATGTAGCAGCACTCCGTTGCGAGTCAGGCTATTTGTCAG